TGTGGATCTTGTGACGAACCCACAAAAGGAGGGAGACAGACACGCACTTCACACCACGTTGGATGAACAGGAAAAGAGACTTTTATTTACATGACCTGTCTATTTATAGACATCTACCAATGAGCACGGATTGGACAGTGATGATAAGACCTCCTGACTCCACTGGCCTCCTCACCTGTCCTTCAATGCTTGCTTCCTCCAAAGAGGAATGCAAAACAATGCTCTGTTTATCAGAAGAGAGTGTGAGAACTGTTGGAGAAATGTGCAAACATCAGAAGGTGATAGAATCCAGGGGCAACAGACACCCAAGCCTGTATCCTAAATTCCTTTAGCCTGATGGGAGATGGTGATGCCTTCTATGGAACCTGCAACCTGCATTACTGCAACTTTCACTGCAAATGCTGTTGCTCCATGCATCTAAAGCTTTCTCATACTAGAGCTTCACTTAAATCAGTTTGTGCAAGTTATCTGACTTGAAATTTTTTAGTGACAACACTGAGGGAAAAATTGAATTGAAGAAATTTTTAGTTAAGCAAAGGCAGGTCAAAATAGTTATGGTTTTGAGAAAGTAATGCATTGTTGCTTTTAGATTTACTTCATCTTAATTCCAGGTCCATTTCAAACCTCAGGTAGTCAAAATTACTCACTTTGAAAGAGCCAAGTTTGCCTTCAGAGATGTCAGGATGATTCCTCTGAATTTTATGTCATCTGCATTGTCGCAGTTTGTTAGCCAATGGCAATACTGATATTATAGCTGAATTTGGGGTTTTGTTTCTTTTCTCTTTGAAACTATTTTTGTAGTGAAGTTATTATTCTTTGGAAGGTTTACCCAATTTTTCTCTTCAGGGAAAATTCTATAAATTTCAAGTAAGAAAAGGATCTCTCCTGCTCCTCAGTCTAGTGCTTATTATAATAATTAGAATTCTTCCTTCTTGATCTCTCTTTTCTTTTCAGCTCCTGTATCCTCTGCTTTCCCCCTTCAGTTAAAATCTGCCTTTATTGAGAAGCATTGGCTTTATGATCAGATCTCCTGTGGCTTCACTCTGCCTGTTAAAACAGACATGCTAGTCTTCTCAAGCAGCTGGCTTGATTCTAGCCTAAAAATTCAACCTGAGAAATGAAAATGAACTTCTGCTTGCCCCCTATCCCATTAACAAATGTTTAGCTTCAAACCTCAGACTCTAATACTGAGGGCTACCTAATATCTACAGTGGATTGAGCAGTAGCACTGGTGGGAACACAGAGCAGGTAGATACTAAATTTGCAGGCAGGACATTGATGCATGTGCAGCAGCTGAGAATGACACAGCCATGGGAACTGTGCAAGTTATCATGGAATCATAGAACATCCTTAGTTGGAAGGGGTCCACAAGGATCATTGAACTGGCCCTGTGCAGGACATCCCAAGAATTCCACCCTGTGCCTGAGAGTGTTGTCCAAATGCCTCTTTGGCTCTGTCAGGCTTGGTGTTGAGATCACTGCCTTAGGGATCTGTTCCAGTGCCCAGCACCCTCTGGGAGAAGAACCTTTTCCTGATATCCAACCTAAACCTGCCCTGATGCAGCTTCAGGCCATTCCCTTGGCTCCTGTCACAGGTCACCAGAGAGGAGAGATCAGTCCCTGCTCCTCCTCTTCCCTCTTGACAAGCTGTAACTGCAGTGAGGTCTCCCCTCAGTCTCCTCAAGGCTGAAGAGACCAAGTGACCTCAGCTGCTCCTCATATGACCACCCCTTAAGGCACTTCTCTGTCTTCATAGCTCTCCTTTGGACGCTTCTGAATATTTTTCTGTCTTTCTTGTGTTGCTGTTGTGATATTATGATGAAGGTCTCCCGTGCTCTGGAGATTGTGCTGTAATGGCATCACAGAAATACAAGGGAGAACTGCATTACCCTTTGTAAAAGGTCAGGAGTTAAACAGACCCTTGCAAAAACTTCTCTTGTTTAGGAAGACAATATTGAAATGTAAACTGGCTCTTACAAAATAGCACCAGAAAAGACAACTTTGGTTTCCATATGATAAGAGGAAGAAAACAGTTTGGGAGGGTAGTGTAAGCATGCTTTATACATTTGGTAAAAGGCAGCTCCTTTCTCTTGGGCTGCCAGAAATGCCTATGGTGTGGCTTGTGGTATAAGTGGGGACTCTGGAGTGGATTCATGGAGAAAATCTGGGCAGGGGACACAGCTGTGGGGTCAGGATATAGGCAAAAACACGTCAGCTCCACCAAGGTTATTGTGAAGTGCCCATGGAAGCACAAAGTGTGTGTGAGACACTTCAGAGCTTCGGGAGAGTTTTTTCTAGTTTCATCTCCTTTACTCTCCTTTCTGAGTAGGTACTGAAATGTCCTTTATTACTCCTCTTCAGGTTCTTTCCCCTGTTATGGTTTAACCCTCCAGACAGCAGCTACACCCCACACAGCCACTCTCTCACATTCCCTGCAGTGGGAGAGAACTGGAAGCATAAAAATGGAAAAACTCATGCGTTGAGACAAATTTAATATGTAAAGCATAAGATGCACATGGCCAGCAAAGCAAACTAAGGATTAATTCATCACTTCCCATGGGCAGGCAGTTGCTCAGCCATCCCCAGGAAAGCAGGGCTCCATCCCATAAAATGGTAAATGGGGAGATGCATGCCATCACTCTGAACCTGCCTTTCTTTCTTCTTCTGCTCCCATCTTCGTGTGCTGATCATGATCCCGTGTGATGTGACCTTGGGTCACTTGGGTTCAGCTGTCCTGCCTGTGTCCTCTTTCTGTTCCTTGTGTTCCCCCAACCTCCTTTTGGTGGGATGAGGAGCAGAAAAGGCCTTGGCTTTGTGTGAGCTCTGCTCAGCAATAATGAAAACGTGCCTGTGTTATCAACAGTGAACTCAGCACAAATCTAAAACACAGCCCCATACCAGCTACTGTGAAGAAAATTAACTATCCCAGTAAAAACCAGCAGAGTCCTTTTGCACATTCTTCTTCTCATCCATCCTTTTCCCACAAGTTCTCCTTGCTCAAAGAGAGCAGGCTATTCCTGCAAGTTCCACCAACCCTCTTCCTCTCCCATGCTTTGTTCTCTGCATGCCAGGATCAGAGTGAACCAGGACAGCAGGAGAGCCAGGGACACCCAAACTTTGCATCTGAGGACAAGTGTGTGATGTTATGGTTGAGAACTTGGAGTGAAGTGCCTCTTCTCAGCTCTCTGCTACAGACTTTCTGGCTGCAAAGGACAGTATTTCAGTTTTCTGGAGGTTTAGTTCAGCCTGTAAAGTGGTTATAGATTCCAGTAAAGATGTAAACATTGCCCTTTTGACCAACAGCTTGGTTTTTGAACTACGAAAGTAAAGGGAAATCTATGGAATAAAGAGCTTTAGAGAAAGGAATCACTCTCTTCTACTTCGAGTGGTGCAGTCATCAGAGATGTGCAAAAGCACAGCTGATGCAATATTAATCATCTATATTTCTGTTTTGTTTACTACAATGAGATTATTGCCATAGTGCTACAAGGATTGTGCAGTTTGGGGCTTTATCCATGTGGCAGTGCATGAACTGCTTTTGCTTTCCTCTTAAGACCTTACAGAAGAACATCGTGTCATTGACTCACTCTGGCTGTCACAGCAGATTTTCTGTTAAAAAGTATGCAAAAATAGATATGCAACAGTAAAAACTGCTTCAGACCTGGAGTTAACCTGTATTGTGGTGGCAGATGTGTGAAATAGCAGCAGCTTCACAACTTAGTGATAAAACTACGAGGATGCTGGAGCAGAGCTGTCTTGCATCCTGTTGTTAAATCCAGTTCAAAGACAAGAATGTTGTGTGGGACAGTGTGTCAAATACTGTGTACAAGTTCATGCAGAAGATGCCAGTGGCTCTTCCCTCATCCCATGGTGTTGTAAGAGCTCTGTATGCCCATTGTAGAAGGCCACCAGATTTGTCAGGGACAATTTGACATAATGTCCACAATTCAGGCAGTTAATTACACTGACAAAAGTTGGATGTCCATGCCCAGGTAAGACACTGATTTGTGTTTCTCCAAAAGCTCTGTAACTCTGTTGCATAAAACACTCAATGCTTCAAACAGAAGTTACCTCAAACAACTTCATAACTGGTTGTGAGGCCAAAGATCAGAGGAGCAGGAGATGGATACTGGGTGTTGAAAAATACAAGGTTATTAAAAAACAAAAGGTGATACAGTAATTGCAGAAGTGGCTAAAACACTTGGAAGTAATAATGAAACAAAGGAGTTTAGGACAAGATGCTTCTCCCCAAGGCCCAAGTTTCTTGTCTATACTGAGCTGAATATTGGCAGAGGATGTTGCTATGTAATTGCAACTCATTTTAGAATGTTTTTAATAGAGGAAAATGATGGAGATCTTCATGGAAAAGAAGCAAGGGTTAGAATTACCAATCAAACTCCTTTGGAGAGGGATGTCTCTGTTTCACACAGCAACAGAAGAGTGCTCATTTCTTCCTCTGTTGCCATCTGACCTGCTGATGCTGTAGGACAGGAGCTCATTTGCTGACCTTTGTTTCTGCTATCTTAGGAGAATACAGACTTTTCCTTTGCCTGTGAAAGGTCTGGATGGAGAAATCTATCATAGAATCAATTAAATTGGAAAATATGTTTAAGATCATCCAGTCCAACCATCAATGTAGCACCAACACCACATTCAGCATTTAACCATATCCTCAAGTGCCACGTCCAAAAGTTTTTTGAACAGTTGCAGGGATGGTGACTCCACCACTCTCCTGGGCAGCCTGTTCCAATGCTTTACAACCCATTTCATGAAAAAAAGAAAAAAAGTCCTTAAATTTAAACTTTCCCTTATGCAACTTCAGGCCATTTCCTCTAATCTTGTCACTTCTTACTTGGGAGAAGACCTCCACCTGGCTATAACCTCTTCTCAGGTAGTTGTAGAGAGAGAGAAGTTCTCTCCCCAGCCTCCTTTTCTCCAAGTTAAACACCCCCATCTCCCTCAACTGGTCCTCATAAGACTTGTATTCTAACCCCTTCAACACTATATAAAGCTAAAATTCTACCAGATTAAGGCAGAAGTGCTCAGTGTGGCCACAATCTCTACTGTTCCTTGAAGAAAAGCTTCCCGCATTCCAGTAACAGAAATACCCAAGTCTGTGGTGACTGTCATCACACTAATTGAGAAGCAATTCTAAGAAATTTGCCCCATTTTCAAGTTATTGTCTTGGAAAAGGGACAGTTATCATGTGGGAACAAGCTGGACCAAGAGTTATATCTTAGTGCAGTAGAAAGCAATCCTTACATCCTTCTCAGGCAGACTATCAGAGACACACCCCCAACTTTTCTTCTTTTGTGTGTGTGTGAATTTTTAAAGAAGCATTGCTCAAAATGTCTTTTTTTTTTCTGACTTATCTTACCCCATGCAAACTCAGAAGTTCTCTGTATTTTATGAAATAAACCCACCAGGCACAGCTCCATTTTGGAAAACAGCTTTTCATTAACTCTCCCCTGCCTTGCTCTCAGAGACACTAACCTTACTTTTGTTATGTCTCTGAATTTACAAAATAGTGTTATGAGTCGGGCTGTTGCCTGCCAGTACAATTTTTACACCTTTACTGTTTTGCTTGGAAATTTAGTGGCTCTGATATGCAGAAGATACCAGTGTGCATCTTCAGGGAGGAGCTTCTCGTGGAACAGACTGGAGCTGGAACAGGACCCCAGGGCAGCTCCATGCCTTGCTGTGGGAGTTTCAGGCTTGGCAGAGGGGCACAGCCGGAGGGTGGGATTACCAGGGTGGCATGTTACCCTTCCCACTCTTGGGAAGGCTTTCCAAGGCAGCTCTTCCTCAGGGTGAGACGTGGTGCCATTGGGTCTGGTGCCACCTGCTGTGCTGCTGGCATCCTCCTCACTTAAACCCTGAGATGTGGCACACTGCCGCCCCTACCCAAGGGTTAAGTTAAGGGCAAAATCAGGAGAGATTTGCTTGTTTTGAAAAGTATCTTTTTCACAGTCCCTCATCTCTACAAAGGGAACCCATCCAAATCTGCCTTTGTTACTTTTGTATCTGATAAGGCTTCAGTTGACAACTCTAGTTCTTGGAGCTGGAAATTCTGTTATTAGGGCACCGACACTTTTCTCAATATTAAAAACCTCTTTCTTTTATAGCTGTCAGAATCAATCTTTCAGATCTCCCCTCCAGCTGCTGTGCTCTCTTGTGAGCTGATTGCTACTCCTGGACAGGTAAGTGTCAGCATTGTTTTGCCTGGCATCAACGATATTGACTTCCAAGGAAAGGAGGGTGTTTCTGCATCTCAGATCAAGTCTTGTGTTTTGTTTAAGATACTCTCTTCTGTCAGAAAAAATGCTGCATAACACTTCCCCCTTTCTCCAAGAGAAATAAGGTCGTGCTCAGTAACCTTGAGTATAGACTTGTCGTATCTGGTGAGCTCATTAGAGCTTGATCTGCTCATTACCTGGAGACTGTTGAAGGCAAGACCAAAATATTTCAGAAATCAGCGAGGGCAGCATGCTTCCCTCTGAGTGAGCATGGGAATGTTGTTCAGCACATGTATTTGAATTGATTGCTGAAGCCGACATCTGCTTACTGAGGTTTACAAGCTTGTGGCTTCTCATAATCTGTAAAACACATGGCATTTGTATGAACAGGCTTGTCAATTGTAGCTCCCTTACCCAAAGCCAACAGGACTCTTCCATCTGTATAGCAGAGCTCTTTCCTTCGAGCCATCAGTCATCACTGTCTAAGAGTCCAGCTGAAAGTGAGTAAAAATAAAATTTTCTTTCTGACTCCTCTCTTCCCCAAGGAAATTCTTTGATAGGTGTGGTAGCCCTTATCAGTCGACTTAAAGCTCCTATTGAATTTCAGCTTCCTGCCCAAAATTGTTGGGATGTGAGATGCTTAACAAGATGTTCTTCCTCGAAGGCCATAGGACAAGGGATCCTTGTCAACAGTGCATGGTGAAAGATTTCAAACCTGTTGAGTGATCTTTAGGGCATGCAGCTGACACCCAGAGAGTGTTGTGGGTGTTGAGAGAGTTAAGATTGGTTTGGATTTTTTTCAGGAGGTGCGGAACAAAGCCACAGCGCTGGTATTAGCATTAAAGATGTCCTTCAGCCTCCCCGGTTGGCAATTTTAGGAGGCATAAGTGATGTGAACATCATGGCAGAGAGACTGAAACACTTGTTGTGGTTTAACCCCAGCCAGCAACTAAGCACCACTCTCTCACTCTCCCACGAGGGGGACTGGGGGGAGAATTGGAAGGGTAGAAGCTGGAAAATTCATGGGTTGTGATAAGGACAGTTTAATAGGAAAAGCAAAAGCCATGCACACAAACAAAACAAGAAAATAATTTCCTGCTGGAAATGGATGTTCAGCCATCTCCAGGAGAGCTGACCCCATCACAGGCAATGGTGACTTACGAAGACAATCACCCCAAATGTCGCCCCTTCCTCCTTTTCCCCCTCACTTTATATACTGAGCATGATGTCACTGGAATATTCCTTGGGTCATCTGGGGTCACCTGTCCTGGCTGTGTCTCCTCCCAGCTTCCCACAGACTCCCAGTCTCCTCACCACCATGGCAGTGTGAAAACCACCCAAAACACAGCCGTGTACTGGCCCAAATCAGACACCACTCCACACCAAATGGAGGAGTGTTTATGCAGGCTCATGCTGTCCTTCTCAATGGTTAACTTCATAATTCCCCTTCACCTGTGGGAGTCGTATCATTATCTAAACAGGATGGAGATTTGTCACTTGGCTTCTTTCATCAGGATTCTCTAGGTGCACACTGGAAACCAGTATGTAGGTGCACCACAGCATCATGAATGGCAAAAGTTGCATCCTTTTGGTTTAGCTGAACAGAGATGAACCTTTCATCAAGGTGGTGACTTGGTTTCTGAGCTTATCTAAAAATAAGGTGCTAACTGGCATGGTTATATTTTCATTGCTTGACCTATCAAAGGAGACAGTGGCAGGGAAAGGACACATCTGAAAATGTTTGGATGACATTGCATTAATTTGTAGCAAGGCTGGAATTTCTGTTGAGATGCTTCCTGAGGATGTTGCAGGCATCCAGCAAAGGCTCTGCTTGTTCTTTCCTTTGATATATGCACAGAACCAGAGACAGATGCTGTATCTTCACTCTGCTTGTGTAATTTGAAGGTGGCCTTTTTTCTCTTTTTTCTGATGTTGGTTAGTGGAGGGTTTTTTGGGTTGAGTTTTTTTGGGGTTTCTTGTTGTTTTTTTTGGGGGGGGGGATTTTATTTTTTTGTTTGTTTTTTGTTTTTTTTTCTTTTTAAAGCACAAGGCTTATTTAAGAACTTTATAGGCAAAAACATTTTGCAATTGCCAAACATCTTCTGTTTTGTGTTCAGAGCAGGACTTTCTTTGCTCTTCAGCTCACAGTACTTTAGACAGAATGGGAGAAGGACATGAAGGAATTGTACTTAGCAGAATTAGAATAAGCCCACAAGCACATGGTTTGTACTTTTTAATTCCAAGAGCCTGAATCTGATCTCACTCCTACTAATCTCTAAAGGGATTATTCCTGATTTACACCATCCTGAGGGAAATCAGAATCTGGCCCTGAAAGCCTGTTTGTACTTCAGACATTGTCTCAAGGCAACTGACCTGCAAATATGAAAAGGAGACCTGAGTTCCTGCGGGTTAACTGTTTAAATCTGTCAAGCTAAGTCAACTACAGCTTGTTTAGCAGGGAAATGGTACTGCTAAACCTCAGGCTAGAACCCATTTACCTCTGTTGGACTAATAGGAGGTAATCAGAGGATCCTCTTTGGTACGACACAGTGCTCTGCATTTGCATAGCACCTTTCATCTGAGGATATTAAATATCTACTTCATTGCACTTCTGGAAGCTGTTCAGCCAGACAAATCTCTTTAATGACCTGCTGTGACTCTGGTTGCTACCAGTGAAGCAAAAATAAGTTAGTACATTGAGTCTCTGGTCATGAGTGGCATCTGTAAGAAGAGGTCTGCAACCTAGAACAGTGTGAAGCTGTTAGCTGAAAATATTGGGGTTTCTGGAAAAAAAAGGCTATGTCATACTTAGCTGCTGAGAAGAAAATAGATTTTTATTAGCACAGGTTCAGTTAGTGTTCACTGAGACAGGTACTGAAAGCAAATGTACAGTTCTAGGGTGTGAAAACACAGGTTGCCTTTCAGTCATCATGCCAACTCCTTTATGGCCCCAAATTAATATTCTTTTCGTTCATGTTTTGGTTGTCAACATGCTCATTTTTAAGGCTGTGTTTATATTGTGATTAAGGGAAAGTTGAAAACCCTTTTTTCACAGGGCTGCTCTAAAGGAAACTGCTGTATTATTATATACCTGTGCATATTCTCAAATGAGCACATCATGTTTGTCATTCTGCAAAGCACAATTTTGGTGTGGTGGCATATTTGCACAGTGTTTGAACATACCAAATGCAGCCATACAGTGGGAACCAGATGGGTAGCCTCATGCAATGGCACACCTATTTCCTTCTAGATTTTCTTCTTGAATTCTCTTATCAGCTCAGACTTCTTAGTAACTGTCTCTCTGCCATGTCAATTTGAGATGCTCCAAGCTTTACACTGCAGTAGTTACATGACTGTGGAGGTCCTGTCTTTACAGACTGTAGGATGCCTACATCCCATGATTCACTCAGCACAATGGAAAAAACACTGGACTCTGAGACACTTAGAAAAAAAAGGTTCAGTATAGGAAGATTTTGCTCACACTTGTTCAGTTATCCCATGCAAACATCTGCTCCCTCTGTGGAGCTGAGATACTTTTTCCTTTCCAAAGCATGTTTATGACATTAAATATATTGAACCAAATTTGACATGCACAGTCATTTGTCTGGAAAATACCCTTAATTTTCCTTAGAATAAGTAAGAAAGTCTGCTACTTCCTCAAAGGTGTATTTATTTATTTTTGTTGCTAGTCACTCCAAGTTGTTAGCCATGGCTGATGTAAACCCTGCCTGTCTATCAGCAGAGACTGGAGAGACTAATGACTGTATTCCTGGAGGTGAGACTTCATTGATTCAAGCTGAAACAGCTGGTGAGCAATGCTCTGAGCACTTGGCATTAGAAAAAAAACCAGGAGGCTTTGTGCCTACAGTTTATATGAGTAACCCAGAAAACTGTGTAGTGAGATCTCTGCATTTTTATGTTTTCCACAAAAGAATCATCATCATCTCAGGTCCATAGCTCTCTACTTTTCTGTATTTACCTGATAGAAACCAGAGTAAGTGCCATGTGAGCAAATATGGGATTTACTGGGGAATGAGAACTCCTGCTGAATCCCACACTCTTCAGCAAATCTCTCCCTTCCCTCCATTTTGCCTCTGCAGCAATGTGTGCATCAACCTGGGTCCTCTTCAGTGAAAAAGAGTGATACAGGACCTTCCTTTGAAGCCTTTGCTGTTTTATTGAATCAAATTCTCTGAAAATTCTCTCCATCTATATATCCACTCTAGGGTAAGAGGACGTATTTCCCTGTTTGTCTCTGCTCTCAGCTGGTGCCACGAAGTCTGTTGCCGCAGCAGATGTAAAGGTGGAGAAATTTTAAAATACACCATATAAAATATGGTGTATATAAAATATAAAATCTACTGCGTTGCTGAACTGGCTAATGTTGCTTAGCTGACATTTCTGCAGTGTAGGAAAAGCTGCATATTACTGGCCAAGAACCTCGTAATTTTCTGTTATTTCTAAAAGGGATGCCAGCAATTGGAAATATTGAGTAATTTTTAATTGAAGTGATATGATCAGTGGGTGATTAGTTTTTGGAGTGCCTTGGATGTGTGCTGTGTTGTAGAGACAAGCCATCTGGAGCAGGGCTGTGGTTTAGCTGCTGTAATGAGTACCCATGGACTGCAGTGCCAAAATGACCAGGTTTATTACATCGATGAAGATCTTGAGTAATTCAATTCATTTTCACAGGTCTAAATGAACTAAAATGAGAACATAATTTGGCCTGAAGTTTTAGTTTGATGCTCTTAATTATTAAACCAAGGATCATCGATGCATTTTCCACTATGCTTAAAATAACCAGCCACAGCAAATCAGGCTGTTGAGTTCCTTCCTCTGCCTGCAGCTTTTACCAAATTTACCATGGCCAGGATTTCACCACATTTTGCCTGGATGGTCAGTGTGACTTCATTAGGTGCCTCTTGTATTTGCTGCTCCTCTGACCTACAAGCATCACCCTCTGC